GGCTTGCACCTGGCACGGGCACTGTAGCCAGCCCGTGCCCCTTTAAGGGGTCCGGGGCCGGGAGGGGGTAATAGAGTTTCCCTGGTGTTGGCCAGAGTGGCCACCAGGGAAACCTGGGGAGGGCTAGCCTCCCACTAGTTCGAATTAAGGGGCTACACACCCTAGTGTAGCGCCTATGAAAGTTAGTTCGAACTAACGTCCGTTAGTTCGAACTAACTCTGTAGTGTAGACATACCCTAATTTAGGATCTGATGCATTTACAGCACAGTTAAGAATTAATCAGACTTCAAAAGGCTCAGATGCTATATTTTCCTCTGTATTTCAGCAGAGGTAAGTCTTTGTCAGTGAGGGTTTTTTGTGTTTTCATAGCCCCTAATTTTTATACAGGATACTGGAATCAGCTTTGAAAATAAGGGCCAAGTGTGTATTATCTCAGTTTCAGGGCTGCCAGATTAAACAACCTCAGTAGTTTTCTGTGTTATTACTGATGACTATTGACAAGAAAGGCTTTAAGAAAACATAGACTATGCAGAATGTAATGACCTACCTCCTAGCACATCGCAGTCACTGTCCATACTGTCATGTACGCCTGCAAAGATATTGGCCAAGGTAGATTTTCCCACTCCATGCTCCCCAATCAATACCACCCTGTAGTAGGGACTCCCGGACTCAGAGGAAATGACCGAATCAGAAGACTCTGATGACCAACTCCTTCGGTAATAATCTTCGGGGTTCATAGTGTATCTCTTGCGCATGTAGTACTCATGGGGGTCCTTGTGGACAGTCAGGTGTCGTCCATCGGCAGGGATGCTCCAGCGTTGCTGTTGCGCATGCAGCACACTGCTGCTGTGACGCATGGTGACGTTATTCAGAGTCATGGTTTTTACCTAGTAAAAAATAGCGAAGTTGCAAATGTTAGACCCCCAAAATTAGCAATGGTCACCATGTTTAAATAAAACACCTGATGTGCAGACAAAAGAAGAATTAGAATGGTTGCCTCTTTCATTTGCCTCTAACGTTTCTAATTAGCAAGCCATCGTCATGGCTTTAGGATTCAGGTTGAAATCAGCATTACATACTAACCTATATGTTTGACTCCCCTGAGTTGTGAATGTTAAGCACTGTTTTGGGGATGGTGTGGAGCTGCACTGCCCTGAAGGGTACCATCGAAGGCAGACTGCCTTTCCTAGCAGCCCATCATGTGAGTAGGAGGGGGGCGGTGCACGCTGCTGTGTCCTTTCAAAGAGCACGTAATTCCCGGTGAGCTCGTCCCTGCCCATTCTGGGGCGCTGTGAAACTCTAGGGGTGTGCAGAGGGAGAACTACAGCGAATGCAGTTGTGCCTGTCCCTTACACAGATTAAGCAATGGAGCGAATGTTTGTTGCACCCTCCCCATCACTGCATATGCATGTAAAGTCCAGCGGAGTCCGCTCGCACTTTGTTAAACAAGAAATCATTCTTTGCCTGCAAAGTATCATGCTTAGTCTCAACTGAGAGTTGACTCTGTTTTGAGAGCTACAAACATTAAACAATGCACATATAGTGCAGAACCACAGCAACAAGTCTTGGTATAGTGGGCTTGATTTTGCTCTCAGCTATATCAGTGTAAAAAAAAAAAAAGGAACACAGTGGAATTAAGCTGGTATCAAATTGGTGTAAGAGAGCAGAATGAGGTCTAATGGGATCCCAGAGTATGTACCTGATCATGCCACTAGAGTAGAAATTACAGGGAGAAAATAGCTCAAATTTGCAGTCTTTAAATAAACAACTTAATTTGACTGAGGAGCAACTAGCCAGGTTAGCTCCTCTTGTCTAAACATGGCTTTTAATTATATTTGACTTTTGAATGTATTTTGCCTTGGTTGGAGGCAGAATATTATGATGTCATTTCTAGTGGTCCCACAGCTACCATTTTTAGGAAAGTTACTTTGATGCTCTCCAGCTCCCAAGGTGACAGTTATTTATACATTTTGCTTTTGTAGGAGTAACTCTGATGGTTCTCCATTCTCTTCTGCATATTAACAAAGAGAGCGTCTGCTATTAAAACATCACAGACCGTTTTCAAACTTTATTCCTCATTTGTGTTTGCAAGAAGTGCCCCATCTCCTCAAATAGCACACTAGCAATTATTTTCTAACTTAAGCAACCACTGAAAACATTTTAGAGACGGTACAGAGCCGGTCAAACAAATGTGCTGAAAAACAGCAAACTGTACCTGGAATTTGAATAGCTGCCTTTACCGAGCATATTGCCTCTGCTCTACAACTTGTCACCTATGCCATTTTCCTATCTGTAATTATAGCATTTGTTGCAAAATAAGTGCATGTGTATTCCATAGTTCACATAAACTTTTGCCAGCAAGAAATGAATTTAGCTGGAGAGGAGGCACCAAAGAAACACCGTTTCACAAACAAAATCAAATATTTTCACTTTCAAGTATCTATTTTGACTGTCAAAAAGACAGAATAAGAAATGTTAACTTTGATTTGGTTAAATAATAAACAGTCTACTTTGCTAGTAGTGCCTTCTTAAGGAATTTCCATGCTAAGCAAAACTTTAGAACTTACTGTAATACATTCAATTCCAAATTCACATGCCACATTTCATTTATCTACTTATTACCATCATTTCCCTTCACAAAAGCAATACATTCAAACTAACACTTTTCAGCCAGCACTCCTTACTTTGCACAGTTTCTTCCAAACACAGTCAGCTCCTTTGGTCAGTGGAGTGTGATATATTGAACTGGTCTGCTGGAATAATTCCTCTCCTGTTAAGTGGCTGCCTCTCTAATTCCTTCTCAGCAGACCCGGTTTATATTAAGACCATCTGATCAGAGACAGGGCTTTTCCGTGACGTCGTTGGCCTGTCCACACGAAAGCCAGCCCCCAGCTGGGAGGAAGCAGGCATACAGAGAAGCAAAACCTTACAGTAACACTAACAAAATCCCTTACTTGCAGTCATATGATTCTTTTCTTCGTTAATGATGCCAGTAAACCTTTTGTCTTTTTGCAGGGGGAAACAGGAGAGTGGAAAAATGCAATAAATTCTTATTTCATAACACGTGTCTTTCAGCTCTGCATGCAAATGCTCTTGAAATCAGTGATGGCTAAAGAATTGCTTGTGCTGTTCTAATGTCTCAAGTGCGACAAATATATTTCACTATCCAATTACAAAATGGAAGGGGCACCATCCTGGAACCTCTTAACGCCTGTATGTGGTCATAGGTCAAGAATTTATAAATACCTGAAAATTAGGAATTTTGTTCTATTTTTCAGTATAAGACTGATGAATGCACAAGATCCCATTTTTCACTTTCTTTACAACCTATAAGCCACTGAACAGTTTGCTCATGTTTACATGTGTTTTGGATGCACAGAATCTTATTCGCTGTGGTGTTATTCCAGTTTGGCGCTAATGGAATTCCACTGATCTCAAAGGTGTTATAGTCTCATAAAAGAGAAGCAGCACAAGGCTGCATAGTTTTCAAAAACTATATTGTGTGTTACAAAATACGCGCTTGGTCCTTAAATCTTTACTCTTTTAAGCCTCATTAGCGGTAAGGCGTTTTGCCAGAGAAAGCACTGCATTATCACACTCCTGTCCTGATAGTTTTAAGGATGAATGGAAAATTTTAATTGATAGAGACAAGTATGTTTACCCTGCAGTCCTCTTTCGAGAGAGGAATGCAAATGCAGCTGAGCAAAATTGCAAATGAAGCGCGGATTTTAATTTCCCATGCGGTTATTTTGAAAGAAAACCCTCCTTTCAAAATTACCCTTAAACATCATTTTATATGGAGTACGGGTAATTTTGAAAGAAGGGTTTTCTTTCAAAATAACCATGTTTAGACAGTGTTTTTTTTTTCGAAATAGGTTATTTCAAAATAGTGCCTGGACGCGATTATGCAAATGAATCACAAGAAATTCAAATCCGTGCTTCATTTGCAATTTCGCTCAGCTGCATTTGCATTCCTCTCTCGAAGGAGGAATGCAGTGTAGACATATCCAAGGAAGATCCCTTACCAACAGTGTATACTGTCTCCAAGTGTTTTATAAAGTCATATAACATTTTTACTAATAAAAAACTAAAGAAATCTGAACAGATGAACTCAAATCCATTTCTGAACACGGACACAATGTCTTTGTGGGCAGCATGATTCACTGCTGTAAATCAGGAATAGCTGTGTTCTAGGTAATGACCCGGTACCATTGAACTATAGTGCTAAGAAAAGATGGAATTTACAAAACTCTTCGACAGAAACACGTTAATTTTTTCTTTTGGCAGGGATCCTTTCTGTGCTCCTTTTCCAACATATAAAGACAAAAACATTCTCCAAAATAATATTCTCCTATAAAGGCAATGGAAGTCACTCAAACTTGGCAAGAATTGGAGAAGCAGAATAAGCCCTTATTTTCACCTGCTCATGTCTCCGAATGCAAAGTTGCATGACAAACACAGAGCTTCATCACAACTTGGAGTATCAACTAGCTTTCCAGGATGACTGAATCACCAGCCAGCCCTGTGTTTGCAATATTAAGGTTAAATATCAATGAGAAGCTTATACCATATGAAGCAGCCATTTGTTTGGTCTATGGCCATAGGGAATCACTATGAATACTGGTTTGCATAGCACTGCAAAGTCCTATCATACAGAATTGACTATTCTCTTGTTGGAAGAACAGCTTCATGCCCCAAAGGCCATGTGTGACGGAGTGCGGTTACAGACGACCCCTCGGGGGTGACTTCCGGGGTGCTGACACGGCCACTGTCACTCACCCATTTGACTTCCCGCTCTCTGGGGCTCCTCACCACCTGGTCCTGCTGGGCCCACAAAAGCAATACATTCAAACTAACACTTTTCAGCCAGCACTCCTTACTTTGCACAGTTTCTTCCAAACACAGTCAGCTCCTTTGGTCAGTGGAGTGTGATATATTGAACTGGTCTGCTGGAATAATTCCTCTCCTGTTAAGTGGCTGCCTCTCTAATTCCTTCTCAGCAGACCCGGTTTATATTAAGACCATCTGATCAGAGACAGGGCTTTTCCGTGACGTCGTTGGCCTGTCCACACGAAAGCCAGCCCCCAGCTGGGAGGAAGCAGGCATACAGAGAAGCAAAACCTTACAGTAACACTAACAAAATCCCTTACTTGCAGTCATATGATTCTTTTCTTCGTTAATGATGCCAGTAAACCTTTTGTCTTTTTGCAGGGGGAAACAGGAGAGTGGAAAAATGCAATAAATTCTTATTTCATAACACGTGTCTTTCAGCTCTGCATGCAAGTGCTCTTGAAATCAGTGATGGCTAAAGAATTGCTTGTGCTGTTCTAATGTCTCAAGTGCGACAAATATATTTCACTATCCAATTACAAAATGGAAGGGGCACCATCCTGGAACCTCTTAACGCCTGTATGTGGTCATAGGTCAAGAATTTATAAATACCTGAAAATTAGGAATTTTGTTCTATTTTTCAGTATAAGACTGATGAATGCACAAGATCCCATTTTTCACTTTCTTTACAACCTATAAGCCACTGAACAGTTTGCTCATGTTTACATGTGTTTTGGATGCACAGAATCTTATTCGCTGTGGTGTTATTCCAGTTTGGCGCTAATGGAATTCCACTGATCTCAAAGGTGTTATAGTCTCATAAAAGAGAAGCAGCACAAGGCTGCATAGTTTTCAAAAACTATATTGTGTGTTACAAAATACGCGCTTGGTCCTTAAATCTTTACTCTTTTAAGCCTCATTAGCGGTAAGGCGTTTTGCCAGAGAAAGCACTGCATTATCACACTCCTGTCCTGATAGTTTTAAGGATGAATGGAAAATTTTAATTGATAGAGACAAGTATGTTTACCCTGCAGTCCTCTTTCGAGAGAGGAATGCAAATGCAGCTGAGCAAAATTGCAAATGAAGCGCGGATTTTAATTTCCCATGCTTCATTTGCATAATCACATCCAGGCGCTATTTCGAAATACCCTATTTCAAAAAAAGAAACGCTGTCTAGATGCGGTTATTTTGAAAGAAAACCCTCCTTTCAAAATTACCCTTAAACATCATTTTATATGGAGTACGGGTAATTTTGAAAGAAGGGTTTTCTTTCAAAATAACCATGTTTAGACAGTGTTTTTTTTTTCGAAATAGGTTATTTCAAAATAGTGCCTGGACGCGATTATGCAAATGAATCACAAGAAATTCAAATCCGTGCTTCATTTGCAATTTCGCTCAGCTGCATTTGCATTCCTCTCTCGAAGGAGGAATGCAGTGTAGACATATCCAAGGAAGATCCCTTACCAACAGTGTATACTGTCTCCAAGTGTTTTATAAAGTCATATAACATTTTTACTAATAAAAAACTAAAGAAATCTGAACAGATGAACTCAAATCCATTTCTGAACACGGACACAATGTCTTTGTGGGCAGCATGATTCACTGCTGTAAATCAGGAATAGCTGTGTTCTAGGTAATGACCCGGTACCATTGAACTATAGTGCTAAGAAAAGATGGAATTTACAAAACTCTTCGACAGAAACACGTTAATTTTTTCTTTTGGCAGGGATCCTTTCTGTGCTCCTTTTCCAACATATAAAGACAAAAACATTCTCCAAAATAATATTCTCCTATAAAGGCAATGGAAGTCACTCAAACTTGGCAAGAATTGGAGAAGCAGAATAAGCCCTTATTTTCACCTGATCATGTCTCCGAATGCAAAGTTGCATGACAAACACAGAGCTTCATCACAACTTGGAGTATCAACTAGCTTTCCAGGATGACTGAATCACCAGCCAGCCCTGTGTTTGCAATATTAAGGTTAAATATCAATGAGAAGCTTATACCATATGAAGCAGCCATTTGTTTGGTCTATGGCCATAGGGAATCACTATGAATACTGGGTTTGCAATATTAAGGTTAAATATCAATAAGAAGCTTATACCATAAGAAGCAGCCGTTTGGTCTATGGCCATAGGGAATCGCTATGAATACTGATTTGCATAGCACTGCAAAGTCCTATCATACAGAATTGACTATTCTCTTGTTGGAAGAACAGCTTCATGCCCCAAAGGCCATGTGTGACGGAGTGCGGTTACAGACGACCCTTTGGGGGTGACTCCCGGGGTGCTGACACGGCCACTGTCACTCACCCATTTGACTTCCCGCTCTCTGGGGCTCCTCACCACCTGGTCCTGCTGGGCCAGCCCTGCTGGTCTCCCCCAGACAAGACCCCGAGCTGGGGTCCCTGCCCCCACCGAGAAGCAGTACAGACACTGAACCTCTTCAGGTCCAAGGAGAGTGCGGTTTAGTGCCCAGCTTCCTGGGATGTCGCTCCCCAGATGGGATCAAACCCCAAAGAATTAGATAAGGGTAAGCCACCTTTAACAAAGAAAGGGGGAATGTACACCCTAGTTGCCCCCCCCCCCAGGTAATGATTATTTACACTGGGTTTGATAGAAAATAAAAATGATTTTGTTACATAGAAGCAGTAGGATTTAAGTGGTAATAAGAGAGAACAGGCAGCGCAAAGTAGGTTACAAATCAAAAGAAACAAAAACACTTGGCTAATTCTACACTGAAACCTCAATACAGATTTACTCAAACTCACCCTAAAGCCTCTTTTCCAGCTGCGCTCCAAACCAGGGCTGTCTCTTCACTCTGGGGTCTTCGGTTGCTTTCCTTCAGGTGCAGCCCAGCCAAAAGACCAAGGCCTCTGCTTTCCTCTTCTTTTTGTTAAAGAATTGAGGCCACTCCAACTAACCCCTGCTCAGCCTTAAGGACAAAAGAGATTGTTTAACAGTTGGGTAACACCCTCCTTGTCTCTTATTCACACATTTAAAACCCACAAAGTATTCCCCGCTCCCCAATTTTACACT